AAAAGTTACCTACATTGTTATGTGAAGTCAGTCTCCTATTTATCAATAATGTTTAGGAGACGATTTAACGGGAAAGAAGACTGTCTACAATGTAGAGTGAAAACTACATTTGAAAATCAAAGAAAATATCACAAAAACAGAATAAGGGACCCAATGGAAAATAAAGAAAAGAAAAACACACCAAAGTGTGTTAAGGTAATGGTAAAATAATTATAAGCACTGCTTCTGTTCGGTTAAGCCTTGGATGTTTAATTTGGAATTTAGACTTTTTGTGAGGGTTATTATCTTAGTTGAGACATTCAAAATTAAGAAGAATCATCACATGTTAAGGTAGTGACTTTTATTTGTAAATCCTAACCAAATTGAAGCGGGAAAGAAAAAGAAAGTCGTGTAATCAACCTTACAATAAACACATCGGAAATGTCATTGAAAAACAAGTTTGGGGTGTGTATCCCACGAAAGAGTAAGGAAACATTTGACTATTAAGGGTTGAGAAATAAATAATTTTGAAATTCTTGATAATTTGATTGACTATACACACACACATCGATCAAGCATTGAAGAAGTAAAGAATTAGTTTTAGAGCGTGTTTGGTAGAGATTAAAATCGGATTAAAATTGAAAAATTAGCCGTTATTGTTAACTTTTATTAGACGAGTGAGATTTAATAACGACTATATTTTCAATTTTAATTGAATTTTAATCGCTCCCAAACAAGCTCTTAATTGCATTACTTATGAACTTTTTATGAACCATTGAAAGATTTCAGCAATTGATGTGAATTTGCCAAAGTTATCTCATACAATTATATTTTTGTTTGTTTGTTTGTGTGTTTAGTAGATAGTCTTACTCGAGACGAATAAGAGTTTAAGTTTGACGATATTTGATAAGAGCATTTTATACGCTTATCTTGGCTTCTATTCTTATTTATTTATATGTAAATTGAGTGATTATCTGCTTAATTTGTGTAAATTATGTTAATTGTAGAAAAAATCCCCAACTGGATACAATCTGTGAAAAGAAGGTTATTTGGAGCTTAATTGAACTTGATTTGAAGCAATTGAAGATTAATCGGATTGCAATAGATCAATTGGAAGCATTAATGGAGCATTTGGTAAAAAATCATAAGTTTCTAGAGTTAAATTCGACATTTGGAAAGTTTGATGACTAAAATGCAAACTCTGAAACTTGTCTAGAGTCGACTATTATGATTTTGGAATAAAGATGACTCAATTGCAAAATAAAAGAAGATGGAGGAATAAAGTTACATAAAAAAATGAGTTCAATTGTAAAAAAAATTTGTTCCTTTTATTTCTTAAATTCTTTGGTAGAAACCAATTCAAACTCTTTGGTGGAAATCAATTTGAACAAGGATTTTGCCTAATCCTGTTCTATAAATACACAACATAGTCTAACAATTAGAGGGGGCTTGTAGGATTTTATTAGACACATATATTCAAGCCAAGGTTTGTAGGATTTATTGTACATATTTATTCAAGCCAGAAGAAAAAAATTCAAGAAATCAATCAAGGAACTAGGGTTTCAAGATTTCACAAGAAGAAGATGAAATCTTGGTGCAAAATGTTCATCTTTTTCTTATTTTTCCTTAATACCCGATGATGTACTTTAATTCCTTCTTGTATTTTTATTCTCCCATGATGTGTAATTAAGTATTTAGTTAAGATGAATGATTGAATCTAGTTTTGAAACTTAATTTTAATTAAAAGGTTTTAAATCACCAATTGATTTTGTGAATTGTTTTTACTTCCAATCATAATACTTGGGTTAATTGGCCACTAATTCATTGATTTCGTGAGTAATAATTACGTACAGACGCAGATTATTTGTTTAGACCACGTAGTAAAAGCAGGTGATTAATATAAAACATAGATATATTTATGTTAGTTATTGCAATCGTTACATGAATTCTTAGAATTTAAATGCTTTTAACTAATATTGATTTACATAGACATATGAAATTAAATTAGTGAAATAGAGTCAATGAGAACTCGAGAGGAGTTAGTCGAATACATTAGAAGAATTTGATCTGGTAAACATAATCAATTTTATAAAACTTTTTAATTGAGATTAAAAGGATAACTATGGTAAAATTATGAATCCTAACACTTAAGGCCATCATATTTTAAATTGTTAGATAGTAGTTCTCGTGATAACAATATTCGGACTCACATGTCCACTTTATTATTTGTTATAATCCGTATACTTGCTGGAAATCGACAATGGTCAAACAATTTAAATTTGGTTTGAATAATTTAAGAAGTAGAGTATTGAAATCTATAGTTTCTTAAAGGCAATCATTATAACTCAAGAATAGAAAGTGAGTGATAAGTGCATTTTAAGCACTTATTCGGACTTCTATTCTTATTAATTTATTGTTATGTTGAGAGGTTATCTATTTAATTTAGGTTACTTTATGATTGATTTAAGTAGAACTCGAATTGGACAAGTTTGGACAAAATTGTACTGAAGCGCTACAAAATTGAGGAATTGAGAACCAAAATAATCAGGTGTTGAAGATGAGGACCTACTACGCAAATAAAGAGGATCTGAGATGTACAAGAACTTAGCCCCCGTTTGACCCTCGTTATTTGAGATTATAATTTTTCGAATAGCGTTTTTTAAGAATCCGTGATTAAAAGAAGATTTTTTTTTCATTTACATGTAATATTATTTTATTGAAAAATGTGTAGTTGATAAGAAAAGAGAGAAACATAAATTATAATTTTAATGGGGACCAAAGTATACTCAAGTATAAAAAATTCTAGCTTTTCTTAGTTTCCTACTTAGACTCAAATTCCACATGGTGGATGATTTAGGAATCCTATTTAGAATTATTATAGACTTCTACATAGATTATTATTCATTCATTTTATGGGATACACAATTTTAGAGTGAAAATCATCAAGATAAAAAAGTAAAAGCTGGGGTTTGAAAACTTTTGGGATTGAAGAATATTTTTTGTGCAAAATCTATTTTTTTTTTCATGATCAAGATTTCAAACTTAGGTATGAACTTTATATGTTTTTTAATTATTTTTCTCTCGTTAGTATGAGTAGCTAAACTCATAGTTAGTGCGAACAACGTAATTTATGTGTGATCATTTAATTCAATTTTCAAGATTCTAGTTCTTTAAATTTCACATGTTGATTTTATTTAAGAATTTTAATATTTGAATTCTTAGACCGATTATTCATGGATATTGTGAATCTATTACAAGTCGAGATGTGAATTTTAGATTTAGACCACATATTAAAATTTGGGAACTGTCATAAAAGCGTCTAGACACCTTTTCTAGTTAATGTGGACGTTACGTGGATTCTTAGAAATTAAAATTCTAATTTAATTAAAACTAAAAAAAATGATCCAAAATAACGAAAAATGTGATTTCGGAGCCTTAAATGATGGAATTGGACCAAAAGAGGGCTTAAATGATGGGCAAAGATCGTGAGTTTTGTTCTTGGACCGTTTCTACTCAAAATTGACAACCCAGAAAGCCCACTTCGAAACTTTATTTTGTTGACTCCGATTCACTTTAAACGAGCTCCTTTTTATATTGCATTACAATTCCCTTACACCGATGGGTGAAATTATTTCTTAGATTGGCAATGAAGAGAATATAAAATATAAGAATAATGTTATATGTGTAGCAAGATTGAAAGTATAAAGCTTGATGGTTAATAAGTTCGGTGAACTTATTTTCTATCGGAAAAATCATTAAGCAATTACCAAAACTAGCTGCTTTACAGTTTATATTCTGACTTTTCACTAGGCATGAAATGATCATCACGCACGCTCATAAACAGGACTTGATTTGGCAGAAATATCAAAAACATGCTCCACAGCCATTATTGAAAGATTTTAACTAACGACTCATTCCTTTCAATAATCAAGTATTGTCTCTTTCGTTGAACACTACATATAATTAGCTCTTGATGGAGATTAAAATTAGATTTTTAACAAATTTTGATAAAAATTAATGAAATATATAATTAAAAGTTTTTGGGTTCATGAAATATGTAATTAAAATTAATTATTGACTTTGATTTTGATAAAAATCTACATAACACTTATCAACGTTTTGTAGAAATTAAAATTAAATCAAAGTCAACAATTAATTTTAACTATTTCATAATACCTACAACTTTTCAATTTCACTTATTCATCAACTTTTACCAAAATCTACTAAAATTTTGATTTTAATCCTTACCAAATAGGGGGCTTTAATTAAATTACTTAAGCAATAATTGATGTGTTTGCCTAGGAATTCTTAAATTTTAAACACAGGTTTAGACAGTTATTCTCGTCGTGACATATGCGGCCTATATTTCGTGTTCTTTGTGTCTATATTTCATGTACATACCCACTTCAATCGAGCCTTTATGTCCCGATTGCAAGATCAATACAAACATAGTATTTAACAGAGTACAATTTGAAATACAATAAGTTTTTGAAGTAAAAATCACAAAGTGTACAAGAGGAATCTTCAAAAGGAGGAGAGACAGTCTCATTACTGCTACAGAGTAAAGACCCTGATTGTTCTAGAGTGGATGACCCACCACTGAGAGCATGTGGCTTGCTTCTTGCTTCACCAAACATATCCCATACTTCTTGCTCCCATCGGCCGGCTAATGGAAATTGACTTACTATAGGAGACATTCGTGGTACTTCATCTGCACTGGTTTGGTTTGTGTACGAATGTAAAGAAGCGGCTTATTCGCTTGAAAATTGACAGTTTTTGTACTTTTATAGGTAGTGATACCTTTCTATAGTCCAAGTAAACCAATTTGTGGCTTCATTTGTAGCATAAAAGCTAAGCCAAACATGCTCTAAGAAAAAAAGAATCAATCTCTAAAACATCCAATGTCAAAGCAAAAGCCTATGGTGAAAGTGCCTAAATAAAAAACCATCTATCACCATTCAAATTCACACAAGGATCCAAGAAATTAAAGTGTTTTAACTAACTTACTAATACAACTTCAATTAAGTTGGTTTCAAGTTGTGAAACAATGTGTCCCACCTCATCTCTTCAACAGCAGATGACCAATATTCTTCATAATCTTGATGATGCTTTTGATTGTCTTTGCGAAGATCATGCACCATCATATTCATGGGGCTCGAGAAGCTATCAATTCGCGAACTAGGCATCAACATAGGACTACCATTTGTGAGAAGAAGTGGTGTTCCTCTACTCTGTTTAGCTACCATCAGTCTATTGTTCCTCTTGACCATAGCATTCTTCCTTCTTGTGCTATAGCTACGCCTTGGCACGAGCGCTAGAGACGAGTCCTCACGAAGGATCCATGCTCGAAAATACTTTGAAAAACACCGCTTTGTTCGCTTGACTGCGATAAAAAGCCTTGACATGGGATGTCGTATGCTACCTCTTCCTTTTCTAGCTAGTTTGAGAATTTCTAGCCTATGTTTGGCTATCGAAATTCCCATACTATGGAGGAATTCATGATTGAAGTAACCTATATCGTCTTCTTCAAGCTCATTGTGAGAAAAAACTAGGCCATACTCGTAAACAAGAGAGGGCTCTAGCCCAGTTTTTGAGAGCCAAGAAAACCAGTCCATGGCCATGTGTGTGAAATGAAATGAGTGTGTTCGTACCTGTATATACATATAAAAAGTAGTTAAAAGAGATAAATTGACTTAGTGTTTTAGCTTATTGTGACTTTACTTTAGTGGGATGGTTGTTGAAACTTGAGAGTAACTAAAAGAAAAGGAATGGGATGTGGGGACTTTAAGGCCAAAAAATCAGCTAAATGTGAATCAAAACTTGAGTGAGGACTAAGAAAACTCGCCATCAATCACGGCTTAGAAAAGCAGTCCATGAGTCACCCACTAAAGCCAATACCGCGTCTACTTTTTGTTTTTATTGTTTTGAACACGGCAATTCCCTTTAGATTCTTAAATTAGTGGAGTTAAAAAGGGTCGGACAGTCCACACGACCCACCCGCTAAAAGACCAAACATAATCCACTCCAATTCTTTTTTACGGGTTGAACTACCATAATAAACGGGTCGTGAAGGGCTTGATCGTCCAACCTGTCCGATCCTCACATTTGAATGATGGCATATGCCTATCGGACCATATTTTAAAAAGGGCCAGATAAATCCGCAATGGCTCTGAAATAAGCCTGGCTGCAAACTGACTATAGTTTAGGTTGATCAACTAATTTTGAAGCGCTATCCCACTTTTAGATATCTTCAGTGGAAATTATACCCACACAAGATTTTTAGCTTTCCAATTCAAAAATCAACTTTAAAATTTTTGAGGTGATAATTCAACATTTTAATATTAATAACAGTATTATAAAATTAAATTAATTTACATACCCACCCACCCTATCAACCACACCCCAAGCGATATCACTCTCAAACCCTAAATCATTTTCCTCCCTTCTCTCTGTCATCTCCCTTCTCTCTTTTCTCTCTTCATCAGTAGCCAAGTTCACAATCTGGCCATCACCATCAACTCTGATCGCGAGCACCACTATGAGGCCTTGTGAGCGCAGGAGCTACTTGCCGTTGTGATTGTAGTTTGTTGGTGGTTTTTTGATATGATCTACTATGATTGTAATTTGTTGGTGGTTATTGTAGTTTGGTGGTGGCGGTGGTGCTGACGGTGGTGGTGGTCAAAAATGGTGGTGTGGGTGGTGGTGGTGCTTGTGGTGGTGTTAGCATTGTTGGTGAGGTGGCGCGACATTCGGTTGGTACCAGTGGTAGATTGCGATCAAGGTGAGATGGGATAAAGAGTGTTCGTAACCAATTATTAGGATGATTGTGACAAATAAATTGATTAATTTGTGACCAATAAATAATTGTGACTAATAAATGATATATGACCTAAAAAATGATACTGCGACTAAATTTGTAATCGTGACTTACAATTTGTTAAATTATGATCAATTAATTTGATAATTTATGACTGTGAAATAAGCTGTGACTATAAAATTTGTGATTTATGTCTGAGAAATAATATGTGATCTATTAATTTATACGTAATCTATTAATTTAATAATTTTTATTATCGTTTTGATCTGAAATTGCTTTTTGAACAAGATCTGGAGCAATAATTTGTTCTTAGTCCTGATTATTGTCAATTGCAAACTCTACATCTTATAGGAATGGCAATTCAAACTGTTAAAACTAAAAATCACTGATAACCAAATTGAATGGGGCGAAAAAATCGAATCGATGGTTTAATGGGGTGGTTATGGTTTTGATTTTAGTGACCTGGTTCGCGGTGGGACTGGTATGGTATTTAGCGACGATACCCCGCCCCGAACCGATTACCCATTAAAAAAAAACTTTGTTATGACATGCTTATATCTATATTAATGTTTAATGTCATGGGTCTAGATAGCATTATTCAAAATATAATTAGTTTGACTAAAGTTGATTATAAAAAGAAATTGACTTGAATATGGTTGTTAGCAGATGTGGAGTTGGGTCGAGAGGATTGATGAAAAAGAATTTTCATACTCAAGTTTATTTTCTGTAAGGTTTGACTTATTGTGTTTTTTGTGTGATGAATTGGACATGTCCACTAGTATAACAATGGAGTGGGTATGGTATTTAGAAAATTTTGCTCCTTCATCACACTCTGGAGCTTGTGCAAGGTTTGAGGACATTGACAAAGATGTACATTTTTTTGTTTAAATCTTCAGTTAAGATGATTCTTGATTATGTAGTATGGTTGTATTATTACTCTAATTACATTTCTTATTTACTATATAGTAATCAACTTTGAGTCTTGACTTTTAACCTATGCCAGTAAGAGTTGTAGGGAAGAATGAAGATTGACCTATACTAGTAAAAGTCTTGACCTATGCTGATAATATTGTTTGTTAAATTCGAATTTTGCATTTGAAAGTTTGGATATTGTTTGCTGAATTGATTTAGTATTGTGTTTTTCTTTTTATTGACTTTTCTTCATAATTTTTCTTTTCAATTTGACGATTGGAGTTTGGACTTATAAAAAATAATTTATTTTCGTGATTATTAATCGAACTGAACTGAACCGAGATACGAACCGAACCGAACCGAACCGACTTACGTGGTTATGGTGCTGTTATAGTTGTGACTGAACCGATCCCGAACCGAACCGTTGCCATCCCTAACATGTTAGAACCTTAACTCTCCCACAAACTCTACATTCTCAAATAATCAATCATTAAAGCATACCAATCTATAAAACCCACTAAAATTGAACTGATTTCTGTCTGATTCTTTTATCGAGCTAATCGTCTCAAATCCGGACTACCCATTGTTTTGAAACTCCTAAATATTGATCTGTTACTTGCAAAAATTAGCTTTAAGTACAAGCCGTGGTTTTATCCACAATTTGGGACAGAGGCGCGAGGACGAAACCAAGAATCTACTTTGGGTAATACAAAAGGAAGGTACACGTTAGACTTTATTTAAATTTGCATCCTCACTAATTAATTATAAATTGTTCAATTGTTCGATTTTTTATTTTATTTTATTTTTGCAACTTCATCTTAGAGACTTGGATTATAATAAATTAGCCGTCAAAATATTTTTTTTTAATAGCACTAATTTATGTCTATCTTTGATCTTTTAGGTGGTCTTATTCTACCAATTTTTTTGGTTACAGGGATCAATTTCTCCAATCTACTCATTCTCATCATCTTCTTTAGTTGAATTGTTATTCATTCGATTGTTTAAAATAGGTTTTATTGTAGTTTGATGTTCTTGAAAGAGACTTCTCGATAAGGTATAGGTCGAAAAATACACGAGTTTTTTTTTACTATTATTATATTCTAGTTTTATTTTTATTTTTTTAGATGTATACTACTGCTACAACATTTAGTGTTTTTTCTTTCTAAAAGATTACAGACGCTGGCAGAGGCCTCAATTCTCTGTTTATATGAAAACTCCTCTTACTATTTATTTTTGCTATCACCCAAAAGCAAAATATATACTTCTCTTACTATTTATATTACTAAATATTTTTTATTTTTTTATTTTAGTAGTAGTACTTTCTATAATTTTTCATACACTTTTGACTATACTGCGTTTGCTTCAGAAAATTAGAGTGTTATTATCATATTACTGAAAATGCAAGAAAATTAGTACTGAAGGCTTAAAGCTTAGATTCCCCTTTTTCTTTCTCATTAACACCTTGTTTGATAAAACTTGTGTAAAGTTTTATCAATTTTTCAATTGATCAAACTTCAATTTTAACCGCATATTATGAAGCCCATAACTTCTCAATCACACAATTTATTAACTTTTATCAAAATCTTCTAAAAATTTTATCGAAAGCTTTTCATACAAGCCCTAAGTGTGCAGTTGTAGCATCACTTTCAATAATTAAAAATAATTTATAAAGCGTTTAGATAATGTTTTAATATGATTAGAAAGTATCACAATAAATTGTTCAATAATTGCATAGTTTTTATTTATGGATGCACATGCAGATTATCAAAAGGGTGACGAAAACTATCATCACGAGACAACTGCAGCATATTTGAGTGCGAGCATTAGAATGTTTGGGTTCTTCAACGGTAAGTAAAACCATGCTTACTGTCTAAATAAGTTACTTATAAGCCTGACTGTGCCATCAACAAAAGAGAATATCAATTCTCATTGTAAGTGTTTCTCTTAATAAGACTGATCTTTTTCGTATGAAATTTCCAGTCTTTATATAGGATAAAAACCCAATGAGTTAAACCAAGTAATTTATTGTGTCTAATATTCAATTGAACATTTGGTGATTCTAAGATTAGCATGCTTGCACGACCCACCGTCTTTAAAGTACATGTTAAGGCAATCAATATATAAAGATTTGGACTACTTGACCTTTTAAGATGAAACTTATGCCTTAATACCAACATTGACCTACAAAATAACAAAGCATAATAATAAACAGGGAGAATTGCAGCCACAGGCCCAAACTTTTCTATTCTTTGTAGATTTTATCCAAATATTTAGTTTATAGGGGAAATTAGGTGCAACGCTCTAAAAAGTGACCCAATTAGATTGTGCAAAATTAATTAAACATCACATGAACCCGTATTAATTAAGTCCTAAACTAAAATAAAATCGCAAAATCTCCCAACGACCTGCTTTTAGTAGCCGGTTTCTTCTTCATCTAATTGCAATCTATTTGACATACATGATATTTGTTGGGTGTTGATGCTTCTCTTGTCCTCTCCATCTATTTGTAGTATATTTCTAATTTTTACATTAAAACTAATGATTACTTGAAACGAATCCCGTGTAAATGTAAATATGCAATCCTTTAGTAAAGATCTGAATTTCTATTTTTTAAAGTTCCATTTTCAATGGCGTCAGAGTCAGGCCTGGTTCTGGGGCGAGGCCAATGAGGCCATCGCCTCAGGCCCAGAATCTGAGGGGGCCTCATTTTGGCCCAATGTTTTTTTTTTTTTTTTAAAGGGGTCTCATTTTGGCCCAATGTTTTTTTTTTTTTTAAATATAGGTTCTTCCCCTTTTTCTCTCTTCTTCTCTCTCCCAGTTCGAGCTCCACAGACCACAGAGCCTCCGTCTTTTTCAGTTTTTCTCATCAATCTTCAAAATTGTTCT